AAATGATGTTATGTGCATGAATGACTGCAGGCAGGACCAGAAGAACTGCCCAGAGAAGCACAGCACCATGAGCAAATAAAATGGTTGATGTTCTAAGCAAGTTGCTAAGTTTTGCAGTGACTTGTTACATAGCAAAAAAGCAAACAAACAAACAAACAAACAAAAAAAAACAAGAAAGTGATCTAACGTCTTGTACTTTAAGTCTCAGAGAAGAGAAAATGGAGCAGAAGCAATATTTGATGAAATCATGGAGCAGAAGCAATATTTGAAGACATAATGGCTACGAGTTTTCCTGAACTGATAAAAGATGCCAAGCAAAGGTTATAGAAAAACACAATGAGCCCCATAAGGAGAAGTACAGAGAAAACTACCTCTAAGCTTATCAGAGTAAATCTGCCACTCCACTCCCTGAGAAGAGAGAGAAAAATCTGAAAGCAGCTGGGAAAAAAGTTTACTTTCAAAGGAGTGACAGTAAGACTGATAGCTGACATCTCAGTAGAAACAGTGGAAACCAGAAAACATTGGGATTTGTTTATCGTGCTGAAAGAAAATGATTTTGCTAGTGTAGAATTCTGTATCTAATGACAATACACTTCAAAACTGAAGATGAAAGTCCTCTGACTATAGCAATACTCTGTATAACGCAATGTGAACCAGGACGGTATCTAGTCTGGAGTAGGTCGTGCATTTAACTGTTTGAAACTGATAGCAGTATTTTGCCCTTTTGTGGAATTTGTGTGTGTGTGTGTGTGTGTGTGTGTTTTCAAAATATTTTGTTCTTTACCCTTGTAACACATAGGATGTTCATGTTTTCATATTCATCAATTAATTTTAGCTTTATAACTAAGGATGCAGTATCTTCAAAACAGGTGAGGGCATGAACTTTATTTTATTTATTTTTGTGTTTCTAATGATTAGCATGGTCCCTGACACTTCTAGGCATCTGCCTGTTGAAATTGAGGCAGCTTATCAAGATAGAAAAAGTACTTGACCACTTAAGAATTTGTTCTATTTCCTCTCCTTATATAGGTTCAAGCAGAAGTCCCTGGGTCTCCTATCTTTGTGATGAGACTAGCCAAACAGTCTCGTCATCTGGAGGTGCAGATCTTAGCAGATCAGTATGGCAACGCTATCTCCTTGTTTGGTCGGGATTGCTCTGTGCAGCGCAGGCATCAGAAGATTATCGAAGAGGCACCTGCTGCAATTGCTACTCCAGCAGTATTTGAACATATGGAACAGGTGTGTATATGGAGAGCTCTAATTTTTGGTTTCCTACACAGAACTGCTGTTTACTTGATTCACATGCCACCCTGAGGACAGTGGGATTTCAAACAGTGACTATAACCTTTTCCCAGAGGAAGAACAAAATAAAAATGCTACTGTTCTCCTCAACCAGAGATGCCAGCGAACCCTTCAAACTCTAAATTGGTTAACACTTTTGAGAAAAATCAGTGTACTATTTTGAGGAGGGACAAAGAAGAGGAATGTTTGGGGTTTTCAATCTCACTGTTTGTTTCTTTAACGAGTTCATGATAAGCAGGTAGTTCCATTTTCTAGACTGATTATCATGGAGTCTTCAGATGAATTTATTCAGGTCCATTATCTCTTAAAAGGTCCTCTAAGTATCTTTGAAGTTTATACATTCTGTGTTTGTATATAGAGAAGACTCTCTCGGCAGTCTTGCCAGGTCCCTTGAAAATAGTTGTAGTTTTTGAGTATGAACTTGGTCTTTTCTGGAACCTTGACTCAGTCTTCATCTTACTGGAGGTAAATTTTCCTTCCTTCTTTTTCTCTTGGAGTCCAAAGAAGCTAAATATATGGTCGTTTGTGTTTGAAGTTTAATTTCTATATATGTGTGTGTTAAGATTTATTCTTCAATTGCTGTAACAAAGAGGCCTCCAAATACAGTGGTTTAAACAGGTATGAGTTCTATTTCTCTCTCACATGGTAGTTCAGAGATGAACTGGTGCCAGGAACCCAGGTTTATTGCTTTGCTATTTACTAGGAGAGGAGTCAGCAAACTACAGCTCGCAGGCCAAATCCAACCTGCCAGCTATTTTTGTAAATAGAATTTTCTTGAAACACAGCATTCAACTTACTTATCTATGGCTGCCTTATCACTGCAGTGACAAAGTTGAGTAGTTGTGACAGAGACTACATGGCCTATAAAGCTGAAAATTACACTACTGTCTGCCCTTTACTGAAAAAAAGTTTGCCAAGCCTTATCCTCGGGTATCATCATCTTCACGGTTAAAGCTGGCCCACAAGAATATGTTCACCTTATAGCCTGTGGGAGGGGGAAGAGAGGACATGGGAGACAAGCATATAAAAATATGATCTAGAAGTCACACATCATATTACTTCTGCTCACTTTCCCCTGGACAGAATTCAGTTATGCAATCACACCTGGCTGCCAGGGGTGTCAGGCAGGAATTGTAGTCACTAATGAAGTGGCTGTTGACTCAGCTGAAGTTCAGGAGACTCTATCACTAAATGGATGAAGCAAAGAAAAATTACTGGAGGGCATTTGGCAATCTGTGCCTCAGCCTGCTCCTCTGGCTACCCATTGTTCTTTCACACCCTTTTTCTCACTCCTAGAACATACTTAGGCTTTCCCCAAAGAAGACAGCCCAAAGTCCCGTCCAGTTCCTGGGTTCAATCAAAAGTCCCAGATCTCTAGGTAATGTACGGCCCTCTCTGCTAAATGTGCATCTGGCTTTTCAAGGACCAGTGACATAAAATACAAGTTACATACCCCTTGTGCTTCTTCCTTTCTCCATAAGCAGTGGTGGCATAGGAACAGGGTAACTCCCATTTGGAACAAAGAAGAATGTAAATTAGATGGCAATCATCGGTCCACAGCTGTTACCAAATTCTTCTAGGCAAGAATTGTAGTGATTTCCTGCCAGGTAGGAGAGTAATTCCTCAGTAATTCCTCTGGCTGCCCCTGGTTCTGCTCTCTGGAAGTAAATTCTTTGCCCGGTATCCCTCAAGGCACCCTTAAGGCTTTGTCCTCAGGGAGGTTCTTCCTTGTTCAGTCTTCTCTGTGACTCCGCTTCCTTTGGCAGAGCTGTCACAGCGCACTTCCTGCTGGTGTGGGATTGGCACCATGAAGATTGCTATGATTATCAATCATAGGTTTTGAGAGCCAGGTTTGTGGTTTGTTTACAAATACAATTCCTTCAAAACTTAGTATGTTTCTGGGCTCTTTACTTCTAGTCAGCTTCAGGTAGGAGTAACCATACCCAAGATTTCTGGACGTAGTTACATTTCCTCTTTTGTTTACTGCCTACTGTGTTTGGTCTGTCTCTTTCTCTCCTCATGTCAGTATTGGCTCCCTTGAGGCCAGCTGAAACCACTGCAGGCCCCTTGATTTAATTTTTGACACTGAGTTGCTTCAGGGTAAGAATCTAATCTTCTGGTTTGTGGAGGTTCAAAAGCATTTGTTTTTTTTCACATTCTGACTTTTTCTAACCATTTTTCCTATGGCTTAGTTGGTATTTTTGGCTGCGTTCTGAGATATTACAGGAGACAGTTTACCAAATGTTTTGTTATGCCTAACAAGGAGGCCACCAGCTTTCCAGTCTGCAGTATCTGTTTCTTTGATAGCCACTACCCTATTGTTAAGCCAGCATCACAATCTTTAATTTTTTTTAAATAGCATCCTACCTAAATGTAATAGTTTCTGTATTGATTATGGTACAGGTTAAGATATTGTAATAAAGGGATCCAAAAAATAGAACCACCCACATAAGATAGAAGTTTATTTTACCTTCTCATCGTAATCTGAAGTGAGCTCTCCAGAGCCACTAGGATCCATAAGGCCTTCTTGGGATTCAAGTTCTTTCTGTTTTGTGTTGCCATTCTTAGTAATTCTCATCTATGAGAATTTCACCTGTATGGTGAAACAGGCTTGTACTGTCAGGACCATGTTCCAAACCATAGAAGGAGAAAAGCCAGGAATAGAGAATAAGCAGTTCCATTTCAAAGCATGATTCAGGGATTATGCATATCACTTACCAATGCTGACATTGCCTTGATTAAAACTTAGTCACTTGCTGTATGAGGGGTTGGGAAAATCTAGTCTCTAGCTGGACAGCTGTTTCTGGGAAAAACACCAGAAATACTAGAAACAAGGGTCCAATGAAGCATCTGCCATAGTGTTACTTTGCCTGCATGTGCATATGCCTGATAGGGCGGGGTTGCCTGTGACCCCAAGTGAAAAACACTCTTTTCACTCCGCTTTGAATTGAGTTTGTCATCCAGGTCCAGGAATCCTGTGTAATAATCAGAGAGAGTGAAATTTACTCTCCTGTGGCCAAAAGCCTTTGGTGGCTCTTAGAAATTGGCTATTTGAGAGGGAGAAGCTTTAAATAAGCAGTGGTGGCCCATCAGTTGGACAAGGTGAGATACTCAATGCTGGTTTGTCTTTCTTCTTTGAGTGTGCGGTGAAACTTGCCAAAATGGTCGGCTATGTGAGCGCTGGGACTGTGGAGTACCTCTACAGCCAGGATGGCAGCTTCTACTTTCTGGAGCTGAACCCTCGGCTCCAGGTGGAGCACCCTTGTACAGAGATGGTGGCTGATGTCAACCTCCCCGCAGCACAGCTCCAGGTGAGTCACCCTGATCTTGGCTCAAAGAGTTGTCTAGCGAAGTTTGGAACGTCAGAGATGCCTGCAAAACTGGTTCAACCAGTGTCTGATAAGAGAAAAGCACCTCCTATCTAAGTCTCACTTAATGTTCATCTCTTGTGCTTTGTGGCTTGTGATATGTAGGTTGATTTTCCTGATCTGGGACAAATGTAGGAATATTATTATTTTTCAGCCAGACACATCTGAGATAAACTTATATTTTAGAAAGCGTCTTCAAAAATAATAATGCTTTACTCAGTTGTTTTAATTATAGGAAGCCTTTCAACTTCGTAGTTGTCCTCTGCTCCTTTTTACCAGTGTTCTGAATTGAAGCAGTTGCACGTTAGTGTGGTCGTTGAGGTTTTTCCTGGCAAAAGGGTAGAAGCACACATTTATTTTTATAATATTTAAAGTGCTGGCTGTCAATATTATTGTCTCCATTCAGCCCAGGAAACATGCTATCGGAAGCAGTAATAGCTAATGATGAAGGTTGGTGTTATTTGTAAATAGCACATTCTTTGCCTGCACTGGGAACCCCTTCTGGTCTGCAGTGGTCCCTATTTAGGAACTCAGTAAATAACGATTTATATACTTTCTCCAGTGGTTTGTGGAGACAATTATGAAGTAATTACAACATAGTTAGGACTTTTTAGCTATCTGAACTTCTTGGCTAGCTACTGACACTGGCTCTTCCCTTTGGATGTCTTCATTCTGATCCATCAAGGGAGAAATGACAGAGGGGAAACTCATGTCTATTACATTAGGGATTCAGGGACTTTTTAAGGGAGTGGAAAGTACTTAGCAACCTGCATGTGTTTTGTTTCCAGTAACTTGGAGCTGTTTATTCAATGATTGTAAAATGCAGGCTATAAAAATAGTCTGTTTTAGGTAGTGACTACTAAAATGAAACACCTTATAGGTAATCTGATAGCCTCCACATTTTAAGGAAGGTAACTGTGAAAAATGAGTGATGTGTGTTTTATTACCTTTCAGATTGCCATGGGGATCCCTCTGTACAGAATCAAGGATATCCGTATGATGTATGGGGTATCTCCCTGGGGCGATGCTCCCATTGATTTTGAAAATTCTGCTCATGTTCCTTGTCCAAGGGGCCATGTTATTGCCGCTCGGATCACTAGTGAAAATCCAGATGAGGTAACCCATCACTCAAAAGGTTTACACTTTTTTTCCCCTGTGAACTTTAATATTAAGATGCTATCTGAGCATATATCTGAAATATCTTGGGATTTCCTCTGGAGAGGGAAATTGATAGAGGCTTCATCAGAGCAGATAAGTAAATGATCACTGTCCCACTGGTCATTTAGTCCTACTTTTGTTACCGTGGAGTCCTCAGTGGGTCTGTAGCACTGGACATTGACTCGTAAGCCTTTATGATTTTTTTACACCCTTTCTGCTTTTTGCGTATGATTACACAGAGCCTAAACGGTGACTATGTAAATATTCTCTTCCTTGGAAAATATAAAATATCATCTCCCATATTCTTCATTCTCTAACAGGGTTTTAAGCCCAGCTCAGGAACAGTTCAGGAACTGAATTTCCGCAGCAATAAGAACGTTTGGGGTTATTTCAGTGTTGCTGCTGCAGGGGGACTTCATGAATTTGCTGATTCTCAGTTTGGTCACTGCTTTTCCTGGGGAGAAAACCGAGAGGAAGCAATTTCGTGAGTATAATAGCATTTGATTGCATTTCAAAAACAAACTTGTGCTGATCTTCAGTGAAGGTGTGAGCATGGGAATGGGAATCATTATCTGGTACAAAAGCACTAATGTTTCTAATATGGACAGCTTTTTTGAAGAATGTATCTTTAATTGTATTTGCATTCGTGTTGTGTTAAATTATGCAGTATTTGGCAGATGTTTTTCTGTTTGTTGCTCTGAGCCTATTCAAGTATTTCTACTTTCAAATATTTTTGATAAATATAAAATTGATTGATTTAAAGATAACTTATTTTTCTATAGAAATAGTATTGTTATTGCGGGGAGGTTGATTCTTGACCAAGAGTTGTCATCATATAAATCATAGATAAGATCTCTTATTTGTCATCAAAATAAAGGTATAGCTGTAAATGTCCTTTAGTCATTTAAAATAATAAAATGAAACTGCTTTTTACGTGAAAAGGCCATAAGGGAACTGTCCATATTGCTTATATGAGAGACCTCAGTGTACTATGAAATATACACATAGCTTATACAAACATGACTAGTATATTGTAAGTATTAGTTAATATTCTATTGAACATAAATATTAAATATTTACTAGCAGTTTTGCTTGCCTAAAAAGTAGGGCCCTCGGAGGTAATTTTGACAGGTTAGATATTTTAGACTATCCAAAATTCATCTAGTTCTTTCTGTTTTTTAATTGTCTATTTCCTTGGACCAATTCCTTTGCCCTTTGAACTGTACACGTAGAATATGTAATCAATAAGTATTTATTAATAATGTTGGTTTTTAATAGTGTTTCCAGAAATTGGGGCGTCTCAATTTTTCCCTATTTTGTCCTCTGCAATTCTTCCTATTTATTTAAAATTATAAGTGGAGTTTTCAGAATTAAAACGATGCTACCAGAAAAACCATATGGTATAAAGTTGCCCCCTTTTTTTTTTCTTTCTTTCACAGCCATACCCTACTTTGCCAAAGTGGAGAAGAGTTACACTCACTAGAGCTTGCAAGTTGGTGGCTGTCCAACTAGTCACAGCCACAGATGTGTTTTGATTGGCTTGGCGTATAGAGTGTTAGTTCTCATAAATCGCCAATATTTAAAAACTGGGGGATTGAAATAAATAATATATGGACTTCTCTTAAAAAAATGGGATGATGATAACAGTGGTTTTATATTCCACTTGGCAAAAATTAACTGAAGCTTTGTGATGTTGCTTCTTTTGGAGGAAACCTGAGCTCTCCAGTTCACATGGCCCCCATCCAGTTTGCCTCACTCATTTACATTCCCAGAGTGGCCTCTATTGGTATTTAGATTTCCGGATTGGCAGGCCACCGAATATTTTCTACAGAACATGTCTTATGACCTGGTCCCAAAGCCTCCTTCCTTACTTCCTGACTCTCTCTGTACGTTTCTCTACAGTGTAAAGCCACCAGGTCAACTTTTAGCATGTTAAAATTATGCTCTCTACAATAAGCTTGCTTCTTGACACCATGCCATAGTTCATTCTTCAGCCCAGAGTTTGTTTCTTCTTTTTTTCATGACATTAGGTCTATATTCTTCAACTTGGTGTTCCTATTCTCCAGAATAGCCCCTGCCCATATTTCCTGCATTATTTCTTGTAGATCATAATCTAAATGCCATGAGAACAGGACCATGTCTGATTTGTTGCTGCTTATCTGTTTTGTGTATAGTAGATTGTATTTGCTAATCCCATACTCCTAATTATCCCTTCCCCTTCCCTTTCCCCTTTGGTAATCCTAAATTTGTTTTCTATGTCAGATCCCACATCCTCTATGAAACCATAGGGAGGTGGATTTTTTCCCTTCTTAGAACCTCTCCAGCACTTTGCTTATATCTCTTTTATCTCTTTTCTGGTATTTATGATATTCTGTCATATATGTTTAAAGTGATTATTGTATCTACACTCTCTCTCCCTTATGCGTCTAGTATGTGTCTTGAGTCTGTGTCTTGCATAGTAAGTATTTGTTGAAGTAAGGACCTGCCCTCTGCAGGATAGACACTTGGTGGAAATACGCAGGAAAAAACCACAGCATTTGAAATTTTGTTAAAATTCGATCATTTAACACTTAATTGGAAAGTAGGAAAAGTAATGAGCAAGTCACTCCTCAGATGGCTAAAACACAGCTTAAAGAAACATTCTCATGTGCAGTGTCAGGCTGAGTGATACCTGACTGACGCCGGATAGTTATCTCTATTGTATGGAAACCTTTAAATTAAGGGCTTAGTGTTTGTCAAAATTCATGGAACAGTATACTTAAAATAAGTATATTTTATTATGTGTAAATTTTACCTTAATAAAATAAATAAGGTGTAAGGAAGGGAGAGTTATGCCCTAATTCTAGTTAGCCAGCCAATGAATGGAATGATGGAAACTTAGTAAATGAAAACTAAGGGTCGTTTGCACATAACTTATTCAGTAATTCTGTATAATGAAATGTATGTGATTTGCTGGTGCTTTTATGGTGATATCAATCAGACTCATAAGTTTGCTGACATCTCAAAAATTCCATCTGGAATGAGCACACACACATGTGCACTCTCATTTGTTCTTGAAACTATCTTGCTCCTCCTTCCTAAGAGTCCAAAGGAATGAAACAATTCTTGAAAATGATTGAAAAACACTAAAACGTTTGTTGCTAAAACAGATCTGTTTCTGTTCTTCTCCCAGAAACATGGTGGTGGCTTTGAAGGAGCTCTCTATTCGGGGCGACTTTCGAACTACAGTTGAATACCTGATCAAATTGTTGGAGACGGAAAGCTTTCAGCTGAATAGAATTGACACTGGCTGGCTGGACAGACTGATAGCAGAAAAAGTACAGGTGGGTATTTCTTCACTTACACGGACAGCTTCTGGGACTGGGCTGTGATATAGGCTTGTGTTGTGATCAGTCCATTCCACTAGATAAAACCTATTTGATTCTAATGTAAATGGTTCTTGGTCTACGTGGAAAAATATAGGAGTCAGTGTGATTTTAGCACTATAAGAGTGCTTGTGCTTGTGTTACACATTTTATATGTTCTAATATTACTTCCAAGAGTGTATTTGAAGAGAGGCATGCAGGGATTGAAATACTTTCTCTTTCCTCATTTGATGTTATATCTTGATCAGAGTTACCAACCTTTACATCTGTCCACCAAGTACTGATGAGAGGGACCTCATATAAATCAACAGACGTTACCCCTTGTTCCTGAATCGCTGGGCTATTCTAAATTACTCCAGATTTTGTATAAAATCATTAGATTTATGTAAATTACCTGGAGGTCCCAATTTTAGTTACATACCATTTTTCTTTGAGATTATCAGCAGCCAAATCTTTGTACCTTTTTGATTATTTGTGACAAAAGCTTGTTTTTGAGCTACTCCTTGCCTCACTGGAAATCTTAGGGTGTAGAAAATGTATTTTTCATCTGTATTCAAATGAGGCCTCTATTCAGATTCTAAAAATAAATGTGTTTTTGTCTCAAAGATCAGTTGAGCAGTAAGGATGAAGATTCTCAGTGCTAGCTAATTCTTCACAGCACATTTGAGCCTGATTTAAATTGAGGGGCCATGGTGCCAAGTGACCGTGTTTTTGATCTGCCCACTTTTTCTTTCTTTCAGGCAGAGAGACCTGACACCATGCTGGGAGTTGTATGTGGGGCTCTCCACGTGGCCGATGTGAGCCTGCGCAATAGCATCTCTAACTTCCTTCACTCCTTAGAGAGGTAGGCTTTGTTTCTTGTGGTCCGTGCTAGCTAACCCATGGTCCTGAGTACAGGACTGAAGTTTGGCGGCCCATTTATTCTTCTCTCTGCTCCTGGCAGCTTGTGAGCGCTACTTGTTACTCACTGACCGTGGGTGCAGGGGAGAGAAGGGATATAGGAGTTTATGGCAAATGATTTCGGGACTCTTTAAATACAGATTTCTAGAAATTGGTTTATAACACAGTTAGAACAGGATGGTTGCTTTTTAAAAACTGGAATCCTGATGAAGTAAACATTCTGTTTCATATAAGCATCAAATCTCTCCAAGCCCTGGTGATGAAAGTCAGGTGTTTTTCTCCAGCAGGGGACCCTGAATGTTTCATATATTACCTGCAGCACCTTTCAGGAAATAATAATTGAGACTGATATTCAAGATGACCTCATGAGTCTTTCAAGTAGAGGATCAGATTGTTTGGGGCTAAACTAATTTCCAACACGGGTTCTTTTGAGGAGTCTGAAAGGAAGAAGAGAAACAAAATTTTAAAAATTGAACTGAGATTTCAGTTATTCAGGTCTTACCATAAAGATCTTTCTTTCACTGTGTTACACTTACTCACTGAAACCTTCATCAGCTCACCTTACCCTTCGGTATCAGATCTAAATCCCTCAGTGCGACTTTTAACTCCCTGTATTCTTTGGCCCCTTTTTACCAGTCCGGCCTTACTTATTTCTATTCTTCAGCATGCAGTCTGTAACCTAGCTGAATGGTTTTCCTACTGGGGTACAGATGTGCCACACGTAATCTCCTCTACAAGCTCCCCCTACCGTCTTAACAGTATTTTAAATTTATTTTTAAAACTTGTGTTTTGAAATAATTTCATGCTAATAGGAGAACTGCATGTATAGTACAAATAATTTGTATGTATTCTTTGCCCAGATTCACCAATTATTAACAACTTCCCTAAGTTGCTTTATCACTCCCTCCGTTGGTTATTTTCCGAAGTCTTTCTTGATAATGTTTCCTTCGTTGGTAATGTCTTTCCCTTTCCCCTCCACTCCAGGCAGCCATGGTTTACTGCCTCTGTTTTTCTTTTTCAAGACTCCAAATAAAGTTCAGTTGCCAGTAGTAAATGAGGGTTTATTGTATTGGGTTGGGCCTTTTTTTTAAATATATTTTTAAGAATAGGTAATACATTCAGATGGTTCAAAACGCAAAAGGCCCAAAAAAGTATATAGTGAAAAGTCTTCTTCTTATCTTTGTTCCCTGGCCACGCAGTTTCCTTCTCTGTAGTCAACCCGTGTTACTGTTTTTTCTGCAGTCTTCCAGACATATGGTAAACTTACATAAGCACAGATATATCATATTTGTTTCTTCACACCGCTTTTTTTTTTAAACACAAATGGTAGCATACCCTGAAACTGTTCTACACAATTTCATTTGCTCTTTTCCTTTAACAGTATATTTTAGAGAGTATTTCATATTAGTACATAAAGGGCTTCAAATTTCTCTTTTTTAAACATTTTAAAATTTATTTTTTAATTGAAGTATAGTAGATTTACAATGTTATGTTAGTTTCTGGTGTGATTCAGTTTTATATATATACACACACAAATAAATATATTCCTTTTCATATTCTTCTTCAATGTAGGTTATTATAAGATATCGAATGTAGTTCCCTGTGCTATACAGTATGACGTTGTTGTTTATCAGCTTTCTTTTTAATGGCTGCATAATATTCCAGTATATGGCTTTTTTTGTAATTTATGTTTCAGTCTCTTACTGATGGTCCTTTAGGTTGTTTTCAGACTTGATATTCCAGGAAATGCTATAACCAATAACCTTTGAGATTCCCTTATAAACTTGCAGAACTTTCTAGAAGTAAATGTCTCGCACATTGTTGTTCTTTCAGGGGTCAAGTCCTTTCTGCTCATACACTTCTGAATACAGTAGATGTTGAACTTATCTACGAGGGAGTCAAGTACGTACTGAAGGTATGCTGAACCCCACGGAAGCCAACACCATACTTTTTGACTCTGCTAGCTTGCTTCCTTTAGGTCAGGGGACGAGGGGGGAAGTTTGGTTTACTGCAGGACTGGGCATTAGTGAAATTACAGACATTATTAGTGTCAGTAGCCTTGTGTCAAAGCAATATTTGATGATTCTCTGAAAATGTTTTAGCTGTCACTCAAGTTCACATACGCAGCCAAGAGATAAAGTAGACAGAACAACCAGAGCAGGGAGCTGCAGCTAAGGTCCCCCTCTTTGCCTGAGGCAGGGCCGAGTCATGCCCACCAATACTAGTGCTGAGAGCACAGGACCACGAATTTCCTTCCTCTCTGGCAGAGCTCTCTTACCTGTATCCTTGAGGTACTGGAATTTTGTTTGGGACTCCACCTGGGAGGGATACACTGCCTTGTCTCTTCTGGTTCCCGTTTCCTACAGGTGACTCGACAGTCCCCTAACTCTTATGTGGTGATCATGAACGGCTCATGTGTGGAAGTAGACGTGCATCGACTGAGCGACGGAGGACTGCTCTTGTCCTATGATGGCAGCAGCTACACCACATACATGAAGGAAGAGGTGGACAGGTGAGTGGCTGCTTGAGGTCCTTAAGTTCCTCTCTTCATAAGCTACCACTGTTAGCAGTTTCTTACGTATTTTGCAGAAATTTTGAATGCACATGCAAGTTATATATACGTACATACTGTGTTTTTCTTTTAAATACATTCATAAATAAAAATAACTTTTAGTTCTGCACCTTATTTTTTTCCTTTAACACATATTGTAGGCTACTCAACATCAATCATGAATTAATACATGGAAAGGGTATAGAACATTGCCTGGGATGTAGTAAGGGTTCAGAAAATGTTAGCTATTACATCATTATCTTCATGGTTTTTTCTCCCCCTAATAGAGGTGTCTATTCTTTTTAATGGTCATATAGTATTCCATCATGTGGATATACCATAATTTATTTAATCTGACCCTTAAATTTTGGTTATTTGGCATTGTAAATAAAGATGCAGTGAATAGGGTGTGTGTGTGTGTGTGTACGTACAGAATGAAGTTGTTAAGTGTTTCTTTTAAGACTGACATTATTCTACCATTATCCTTTACAACTTGAGATGCCTTATTGACTTCCCATTCCTTCTTGTCTCCTAGGTATCGCATCACGATTGGCAATAAAACCTGTGTGTTTGAGAAGGAAAATGACCCTTCAGTGTTGCGCTCACCTTCTGCTGGGAAGTTAATCCAGTACATTGTGGAGGATGGAGGCCATGTGTTTGCGGGCCAGTGCTATGCTGAGATCGAGGTCAGGGTGGTGATTGGGCTTCTGGGTCATGGGAGGGAAGGTAGGGAAAGGGTTGGCTGGGATGGACTGGGACTCAAGAGTAACAGAAAAGAAGTAAGAAATAGAAAGGAAAGAGCATCAGTTGGTTTAATGGGGATTATGAACACTGAGATTTTAAAAACAAATAAAAAGCTCTTAGTTTTTCTTTGACAGATGAGGAATCTCTGGCTCTAAAAATACATGTGAGGCAACAACACTTATTGAGTGTTGGGTATTGTGCTAAGTACTGGTTATACAGAAAAAATGTGAGGGGTGAATGGACAAGTAATGAAGTATGAATTGTGAGAGAGCCAAGCATGGAGTGCAGAGGGCCTCCTGCCCCAAATCAATGTGGGGCTGGGTAGACAGTGAGAGAGGACTTCCTGATAGAGGGGCTTTGATCTTAGCTTTGAAAGAAAGATAGTAATAGACCAGATGAAGAAAGGCAGGGAACAGTGTTTAAAGGTGAAGAAACAGCGTATACAAAGGCACAGAAGCAAAGGAGTTTGGTATATTTAAGGAACTGCAGTTACATATTGATACTGCTTGAGAATGGCTATGATTTAATGGGAAGTGTCAAGCAAAGCTGCTAAGTGAGTAATCAGAATTTTACATCATGAAGGACCCTATAAGACATACTAAGAAGTTTAGACTCTACTGAAGGCAGATGGGGAGTCTGGATTTTACATGGACAGATGATATGAGGAGATTTGAGCTCTAGAGTGATTGCTCTTAGTGAACCTTGTGGTGGGTGCATAGCAGGTAGGAAAGTCTATTGGGAGGTTTTTGAAGTATCCTAGGCCAGAAATGATGGCAAGAGAGGAAGATTTTTGAGAAAGGTTTAGAAGATGTACTTGGCTAGGCTTGGTAAATTAGTGGATAAGGGAGAAAAAGGAGTCAAGAATGATCCTTAGGGATTTGCTCTGGATGTCTTAGGTAGACAGCATGAGCAGCTAGATCCACAGGTATAAGGAAGCTAAATTGTTCATCACTTCTAAGTATAAAACACATGAAAACACAGACTATGTCAAAATGCATGTAAATACCAGAAACAGGGAATGTCAGTAGCTGTCATTAATCCCTAAAGCTAGGTCCTGAGAGATTTTTCAAATTTTTCATTATAGGTGATGAAGATGGTAATGACCTTAACAGCTGCAGAGTCTGGCTGTATCCATTATGTCAAGCGGCCTGGAGCAGCTCTCGACCCTGGCTGTGTACTAGCCAAAATGCAGTTAGACAACCCCAGCAAGGTCCAGCAGGTGAGCAGGAAGATGCTTTCAATATTGCTCTGCAATAAGGGTAGCTTGGAGGGCCAAGTGATTTCAGTGCTTGGTTTGCTAGTTTTTCCTTAAGCTTTTTACCCCTGATTTTATGCCTTGTCCTTGTGCCTTCGGTTCTCTAGAACTAGAGTTTGCAAGAGTTAATTATGCCACTAAGATTCTGTGGTTTTCCTAATGATGCTTCTTCCATTGCTGGGTTTGGCGTAGGGAAGTCTTGATTTTGAGTCTGAGTTGCAGTGGTGTGTTTGCACCCTGAATAGAAGGTAGTGGATGACTTGATCTCTCATTGGTGTTGACAGGCCGAGCTTCACACGGGTAGCCTGCCACAGATCCAGAGCACAGCACTCAGAGGCGAGAAGCTCCACCGAGTGTTCCACTATGTCCTGGATAATCTGGTCAACGTCATGAATGGATACTGCCTTCCAGACCCTTTCTTCAGCAGCAGGGTATGAATCACTTTTCTTGGCGATGGGTATACATAATAGGGTACCTGTTTTCCAAGACAGTTTAAAAGTCACATAAGGATTTTTTTTTTAAGGGAGAGAAAGCAAGCTGTTTGACCTGGAACTTGCCCACTTTTAGTTGTGGGATTTGAAGTCTCTAAATCCTTGCTTCTTTCTGTGTCACTGACTTCACATTTAATTGGGTTTTAAACCAAAGAACCAGGGCAATATTAGATGCTTATATTGTAATGTCAAAATAAGTGCAGGCATACCTTGGAGATACTGAGGGTTCAGTTCCAGACCACTGCAATAAAGCAAACATTACAAGAAAGCAAGTCACATGAAATTTTTGGTTTGATAGTGCAAGGAAATGTTATGTTTACACTACATTGTAGTCTATTAAGTGTACAGTGGCATCATGTCTAAAAACAATGTACATACCTTAATTTAAAAAAATACCTTATTGCTAAGAAATGCTAACCATCATCTGAGCATTCAGTAAGTCATAATCTTTTTGCTGGTGGAGGGTTTGAAATATTGCAAGAATTACCAAAATGTGACACAGAGACATGAAGTGATAAATGCTGTTGGGAAAATGGTGCCGATAGACTTGCTCACCTTAGGGTTTTACAAATCGAAACCTTCAATTTGTAAGAAACACAGTATCAAGGCACAATTAAGCGAGGCATGCCTGTACTGTGTGGTCATGAATTCAGATATATCATGTTATTTGGGAGAGTGTGTTAATTTTCTCTGGATCCTACTTCATTATGTCCTTCTTCTCAGGTGAAAGACTGGGTAGAGCGGTTGATGAAGACCCTCAGAGACCCCTCCTTGCCTCTCCTAGAGTTGCAAGATATCATGACCAGCGTCTCTGGCCGTATCCCCCCCAATGTGGAGAAGTCTATCAAGAAGGAAATGGCTCAGTATGCCAGCAACATCACATCAGTCCTCTGTCAGTTTCCCAGCCAGCAGGTATTTATAGAGTAACTCTACCATTTTCTACTGGCTGCCCATGCTAGAGTTCATGTTGTAGGATTCCTTCCTGTTTGCATCCTCCTTACTATGTGGATGCTGTGCTTTTTAAGTTGTAAGCATTTTGCCTTTCACAAAACTGCCTCATGGTACCAGCCCAATAATGAAAGCACTGTATGTGAAACGTAAAGTATCTGTGGTTATGAGAAAAGCATATTCGGCCAGGTACCCCATAGAGTTTTGTTCTGTGAGAGGTATTTTTTGTGCATTTAAAGTAGACAGATATTTGTAGTTTTATTATCAGAGACCTCCTCACTACCTCAGCAGCATGCTTGTTACCCTTTGCCTATAATCTAAATTTACATGTTGGGGGTAAACCTAGACAAGGGGGGAGTTATGTTTGCACCTTGACCTTAAGCAAATCTTGCCTGTCAGGGCCTCTGATAGGATGGTAGTCTTTGTGATGCACTCATTAGTTCATCTGAGAAAGGGTGAAAAGTAATACAAGTTGCTTTCTTAATTAACATGAGTGAGCTAAGCTATGCCTAGTAACTCCGAGCTGCTGTCAGCGTGTGAAAGATAGAAATTGTCTTGTTATAATTAAGAAGATTCCTGGTGTTGATGCCACAGAGGCTGGGTCCCTTTGTTGGGTTGGGCTTCATTTTTCTCTCTTCCTTGTACTTTAGATTGCCAACATCCTAGACAGCCACGCAGCTACGTTGAATCGGAAGTCTGAACGGGAAGTCTTCTTCATGAACACTCAGAGCATCGTCCAGCTGGTACAGAGGTAGTTACATGCAACACCAGATCCCAGACCTGTCTGGCCCCAAACCTTCCTTTCTTCTAAGTAGTCACAGGGAGGTTTACCACAGATTTGACTTAGAGAAGTTAGAAAGCACCTAACATCTTGGAAAATAGCTTATACTGACTCAAGATCTTAGAATTGTGAAGTAACTCTCCTACTCAGTGTTTCTGATGACTCCTTTCTATTGGACATCTTTCTGTCAGTTATTAAGGCACAGAAATCTCAGTGTTTCCTTTTTCTTTGCTTTTGATGAAACTCCTAATTTTCCTCCTGGCACAGGGCCCAGAATGACATTTATTTCTAACTTGTGGAGCCAACTGTTGGACTAACAATCTTCACAGAACATTGGCAACTTCAAGATAGTCATGAATTTTCAGATACTCCTTAGCCATTTGAAGTGTGTGGTAATCATTTCTACTTAGCAAAAGGAACTGAACCAGGGGTGTTGTTAGGGCTATCGAGTGGTTTTTGGTTTTGTTTTGTTCTCTATTTTCCCTCTATTCTTTTATTTAAAAAAAAATCTTGTGTATAGCTAGATTTCTTTTAGTCTTGAATTTTAAGTTAATCTGGTTAGTTGATTCCAGGCTGGCTCCTATCCTGTCTTATGTTCAGAGGGAAAGCAGTTCGGTAGAAAGTCAAGAGAGTAAATCTGGGTCTGGGTTTATTATTTAATAGTCTGTTACTTAATCGTGTTAGCCTGTCAGGGTTTTTGGTGGAGACTCTCTTCTGTTTGCCTAGGTACCGAAGCGGCATCCGAGGCCACATGAAGGCCGTGGTGATGGATCTGCTGCGGCAGTACCTGCGAGTAGAAACCCAATTCCAGAACGGTAAGCTCCTTCCTGAGGGCTCTGTACCTGAGAACGTGTCCCTAGAGGACTGAGCAGCGGCTGAGCCAGTTCATCCTGTCACTAGCACTTGCCATTAACCAACTCTTTTCTCCTGTCACCAATCCCTTAAAAACTAAACCTCTAGGTATACAGAGCAAACTTACTGTTGCCAGAGAGTAAAGGGGGTGGGAAGGGGTAAATAGGGAGTTTGAAATTTGCAGATACTAACTACTGTGTATAAAATAGATAAACAACAAGTTTATACTGTATAGCGCAGGGGACTATATTCAGTATCTTGTAGTAACCTATAATGAAAAAGAATATGAAAATGAAAAAAAAAAAAACCCAAAACCGCCCCCCCCCAAAAACCCTAAACCTCTATATCCCACTAACGCCAAAGAAAGAATAACAGGAAAACACAGCTTGATGAGATTGTGAATCCAGCCCTTCTAGGAAAGGGCTGAGATAATTTTTCTGGTAGAGATTAGCATTCCCTGTTGGTGTCTTCTTGACCTCATATAGTGAGAATTGATTGGGTCATGGCCAGGCTGAAATTGAGAAACCCTATCCAAAGAGCTTGCCTCTCAGCAGCTGATCCATGGATTGAACCACAGGCATCTGAAAAAGGCTCAGATTTTCCAGTGCTTTTCAGTGTATCATTTAGGTGGAATTTATCCTGGGCTTTCTCTGTAGAGCTTCACTAAATGATGTACAAGGTCTCCAACTGAAACGCCCTGGCTAAGATTTTAAAGCCACATGCTGCTGATACTGCTTTCTGCCACAAGATGGCAGTGAAACACCACAGAATTTGAAAGATAACCTAATATTTTCTTGAATCTGTTTTGCTCCCTTTTCCATCCTTAAAGGATGGCTCTGCCATTCTTGACAAGCAGAAATACTCAAGTAAATATTGCAAACTGAATCCAGCAGTGTATAAAACAATACATCACAACCAAGTTGGCTTTATCCTAGTAGTGCAAGCTTGATGAATATTTGAAAAACTGATTAATGTCATTTATCATGCCATAGACTAAAAGAGGAAAAAAACATGGCCATCATCTTAAGATACGGATGAAAAACGCACTTGGCAAAATTTAATATCCATTCATGATAAGTTCTTGGGCAAATAAAAATGAAGTGGAGCTTTTTATCATGTAAAGTTCCCCCACAAAAAATCTATAGGGTACATCATACATAGCGGTGAAATATTAAAAGCATTCTCTTTAAGATTAAGAATAAGACAAGGACACTTCTTTCATTACTGCTATTCAGCATCATCCTGGATATCCTAGCCAGTGCAGTACGACAAGAAAAAGAATGAAAAGGTCTGAGGATTGGAAAGGAGTAAGGAAATAAATCTGCCACTATTAGATATGATATGATGTCTGTCTGAAAAGCCTCAAAGAATCCACATATTTATTATTAAAATTATTTAAAATCTAACAAAATTGCTGGATACAAAAGTCACTATACAAAATTCAAATTTTATAGTAGAACAGTTGTTTAGAAAAACGATTTAGAAAAAGATTTCATTTAAAATAGCAACCCAAAATATGAAATTCTAAGGAATAAGTAACAAAAAAATGTGCAACCTTTTTTGGAGAAAATTATAGTCATTGAAAATAATAAGGAAGATCTAAATTATATCATAGTCTTGGATTGGAATATATATCTGTAAAGCATTGATTCTCCCTGAATTCATCTGTAGATTCATTGACGTTCCAAAAAAAAAACTTACTTGTGTATCTTTGTGGAATTTGTCAAGCTAATTCTATAATTTACATGAAAGAAAGGTAACCAAATTTCTTCTAAAGAAATACACTTGGAGATATTTGTCCAGTTAAATAGTAAGTTTTAATATAAAGCCTTATTAATGAAGAGATTGTGATTTTGGTGTAGGGATAGATTAATAGAACAATGGAACATTGATCCATGCACATAAGAAAACTTACTTTACAACAAAGCAGTAATTGTCAATCATGAGGAAAGGGCAGACTTTTCAATAAATGATACTGGGACAATGGATTATTCATTTCCAAAAATCCCCAAAACCAAAAAGGATCCCTACCTTCGACCATATACACAAAAATCAATTCCAGATGAATTAAAAACTTAACCATGTACTAAAAAGGCAAAGCTACTAAACTTTTAGGAGGATATCCTTATGACTTCAGGCCAGAGAAAATTTTGTTATACAAGACACAGAAAGTACAAACTAAAGGAAAAGGCTGAGTAATTCAATTCCACTTAAGAACTTCTGTTCACAAAAAGATACTGTAAGGAGACTGAAAATATGACACAAAGTGGAAGGAAGATATTTACGAAACATAACAGCTAACAAAGGATTAGTGTCTAGAATCTGTAGAGAACAGCTATGAATCAATAAGTAAAAGACAACCTAGTAGAAAAATGGGCAAAAGATACAAAAAGGTAATGCACAGAAAAGGAAGCACAAATGATCCACCCACTGATAAAAAGATGTTCAATCTCATTACTAATTAGAGAAATGTGAACGAATACCAATTGGAGAGATGTGAACCAAAACCACAGTGAGATTGACCAAAATTAAAAAAAATCGCATCATCTCCTTCCACTGCTCCTGTAAGTAGAAGTTCAGATTGGTATAACCACTTTGGAAAACGGTTTGTCAATACCTAATGGAATTGAACTTATTTACACTCTTCAACCTAGCAATTTCACTCTTAGGTAATGCACTCTAGAGAAACCGATACATATGTCTGTTAGGAGACATATACAGGACTGTTTGTAGCAGCATTATTCATTAACAGTGAAAAAGACTGGAAACAATCCAAATATGCACAAGTAGAATAGATAATTGGATTCTAGTATGTTCCTACAATGGATTACTCTACAACAGTGAAAATGGACGAACCAAGAGATACATGCGAGCCAAAGGATGAATCTCAAAAGCATAATGGTGAGGGAAAGAAACAGGTTATAGAAGGATCCATATGCAAAAATTCCATTGTTATCAGGTTGAAAACAGGAAAAATGAAACTATATACGTTTGTGATAAACGTAAAGAAAACACAAAGAATGATTAAGTAAAATTCAGCTTAGGGTTGTTTTTGAGGAGGAGCACAAAGGATGCTTCAAAGATTCTAAAAATGTTCTGTGAAGACAGAAAATGGCAGTTATATGGGTGTTTATTCTTCTGTATGTGTCTTTCACAAGAAAAAGTTTTTAAAAAGAGGCACTTGGTAGCATTCCTTACTTTCTGTTTAGTATCTCCACTGCCTCTCCTCTGAGTAAATATTCTTATCTCCCCTGGCCCTAGTAATTGGCCCTTGGTAACTAATTACCAAGATATATTTCTGTTGCCACTTCAAAGCTAAATCTTGGTTGGGAGAAACGTGTATGTCCTACATGTTGCATAGGACAACCAATTTTTAAACAGCTTCCATTTTATTCTAAGTAGGTCTTTTATGCAATTGGCAGTTCTCTAAATATTGTAGTTCACTGTTTTTTAAACGTAGCTTCACTTTGAAAAAAAATCTTACATTAATCTCTAATATTGAAAACATAAAAGCACAGTTGCTTTGGTTGATTGTACCTGGTGTTTTGGGAAACCATAGTAGTGCAGTTTGAATGCCACTGTTCTGGTTTGTAACTTGACATGGAATCTGAACCAAAGTGATTATCCTTTGGTATTTTCATTATTTCATAAAATTCTGACCCTTGAGACTATTCAAACACTAATTCTCCTTTACTCGGAAATTTAATTCTGAGGTGAGCTGTTTTCTGAATAACTGGGTATTACTTATATCCCATTGTAGATGTCACTACAGTATACCTGAAGCTTATGCTTCTGTTGCAAAGCATAGCTCTGCTAGCCGGAACTAAGCTGCCTCTTGTGGCCTTATGAAAGGCCAGTGAAAATATACATAGCTGTGCTCTCCCTGCAGGCCTTTTGACTTAATGCAAGGTTCTGCTTGATCAGTGCTTTGATTTGGGTTTGGAATTCCTAGGCATTGCTTAGCTGTTTCATGGACTAATGGGGGTGGGGGGGAATGTTGATTCCAAAGGTGGCAGCCATCTTTCTTGTGGGTATTGATAAGTGTGTTTGATTTTTGAGTTAAAACTGTTCCTTCTAGTTAGGGTGAAACATGGTCAGAGAGTCCAACATGGAACCAGAATCTCTAGCTGGGGTAGACTTTAAAGATCATTGGGTTTAATGGTGTTGACATTTCTTTTTAAGAAGCCAAACCCTCTCTTCTAAGGAGATCATTCCAGGAAGCTAAATAAGAAAATTTAGAGTAAGGGTAGAAGGTTGGGGTTATCCCCAACCCCTCAGTCTCTAAGACACACCCTCCCTCCACCTCTAAAAAAAATTTTTTTAATGAAAATAAGGCTGAGAGAGAGAAAGTGATTTGCCCAGGAGCACACAGTAAATTGGCTAACAAAGCTGGACTTTGAGCCCGAGGTTATACCAGATTGCCTGACTCCTAGTCCAGTGTTGCTGTGACTAAGCCACACTGCCAATTCTATACAAGTCCATCTAAGAAATGTCTTGTTTCTTCTCACTACTTATCAGGTGAATTACAGACTTTAAAAAACACACAAACAGCATGTAAACGTAAACATTCACACATGAGTGAGGACCAGTTCTCTTTGCTGCTTGCAGGTCACTATGACAAATGCGTGTTCACCCTTCGGGAGGAGAACAAGAGTGACATGAACACTGTGCTGAACTACATCTTCTCTCACGCTCAAGTCACCAAGAAGAATCTTCTGGTCACAATGCTCATTGTGAGTACCATTTTTCTGAACCCGTAAGGATGGTTGATGATATGAAAAAAGCATTTCGCCTTCTCATGGCTGTGGTCAGAGGAAAAGCTCCTGTCTTTTGTAATTGTGGGATGAGTGGGGCTCGGGTTGTGGATTAACAATTTCTCACATCCGTCTTTGTCCTTGACCTGAAGGAACCTGCTCTAGTGAGGAAAGGATTCTTCTGCCAATTATGCGTATAATCTTACACAGGAGCTCCGATCTCTTGTCTCTACTGAGAGATGCCCTGTGTTTCCTCATTCCTGTTGTTATTCATAACAGTAACTTTACAATTTAGTCTTATCCGACCAATGTGCTTTTCTGTTATAAACTCTTGTTAATTACCATGAATGTCAGCAGTGGCACTCATGTCCAGGATTTAAAAACAAACAAAAAACGCCCCCCAACTATTAGGAATCTAATACTGTTCCCTCCCAACCACAGAAATTTAAATTTATTCTGTCATCTTCTTTGGTCCCTTTCTGTTTTATTTACATGGACATCCAAGCTCAGATTATTGTATTGGTAGATGCTTTTGTCCCCGTTACCTAGTGATGTGAGGATTAGGAGAAAGTGGGAATGAGAGGTGAGACTCGTACCTGAATAGGACTGATGTACGTTTGACAATGGGTAGAATTTTTGTGGGCTTCAGGATTTTTAAAGATGATTTGTAAGTTCTCCCCTCCTGGGTTTTTCTGGTTGAGTTAATTCTGGAAGTCAGAGGACAATAGGACTATTCGTAGAGGCCCCCATCCCATGAGCGGTTAATTGTCTTGCTGCTGCATGTTTGTCTTTTTTAGACACCACAGTACCTTTTCACTCCTGTGGTTTTCTTTCTTGTCCCTTTGTGGAATTGGCGTTCTTGGTACCTTAATCCTGTTTTTTCTTCTTGGAGGAAAAAAAACTATAAATCTCCACTGCTATTTTGTATTTCATGGTTCAGAATGAAGGGAAACTGTCTATCTCACATCTCTGGTTAGCAGCAGTGCCACTCATTCAGTTATCTGCCCAACTGGTTAACTCTTGAGGATAAAACATTTTGTAGAATAGCCACTTTTAGAAATACGTAATCACAGGGAGAGTTCATTGCCTTTGCTACCCTGAATGGCTAGATATTGGATAAACCAGAAGATGCATTTGAAAGGGGAAAAAAAATCAGCACAATGTAATATTTCAACTTCCCCAAGTGACAGGTTTTGGCAAAGAAGTGATACTGTCTATGGCAACTTGCTGATTTTATTTTTCTCTCAATCAAAATGGAATTAAATCTCTGACTAGTTAGATTTTTTTCCTTAAATTTTAATATAAGGCTTTCTAATTCTCATTTGGATAAAGCCAAGACTTTCTGGCAGCAAAGGGTAATGAAGAGGGTGTGGAAGAATCTGTCAGTTTGGACCGAAAATGGGTTAGAATTTGCCTTTTTAGGAAGCTAATTATGGTGAGTTTTCCTTTTATTATGATTACCTTTTTAAGGATTTAACAGTTTTCTGCGCTAAAAATAGACCAAAGCCCAGAATCCTTGGAGCAGCAGAAGAGTAATGATCGTCCAAGACTGTCGCTGGGTTTCTTAAATTCTAATTTGTAAGATATAGGGGCTCGGCTCGCTCCTTTTGCGGAGTGATTGTAAGTAACGCTTGCCTTAAGAATCTCATTATTGGAACACGGAGCCATATTTCCTCTGAGAATTCTGGAGTAGCTTTGAGCCGGGGCTGTTCATTTCTCAAGTAATCACGCTGGTGTGATGGAGAGAGAAAATGGCAGCTGTTCGGAGCTCAGGCCTTCAATTTTCTTCAGAGTCCAGTCACTCAAGTGTGTAATTACACGGGGGGTGCTGCAGAGGCGTCGGGCCCTGTCAGAGAACTGGTTTGAGGCTCTGCTTTCTGCTTTTGCCAGTCAGGACAGGCAGAAGCCAATGAGACTCTGGCTTGCTGCTGCTCCTTTTTCCCCACCTTGTCATCCTGATTGCTTCTTACCTGCGTGGATAGTACCCAAACTTTCTTTCCAGCAGGCTGAGCTCTTTGGAGAAAAGAGCTGTTTGTTAGTGTTTGGGTTTGGATGAATAGGACTGGGAGGAGTGGAGGAGGGGAGAGAGTAGGGGAAGAGGAAGGGGAGGGGGAGGAGGGAGAGGAGGTGGAGGAAGGTTGAAGATGTGAACCAGAAAGATGGATTTGTCCTTTCCTTTATTTTGGCATTTCACATTTATCTTTAAAAAACAAAACAAAACTCGGTAAACATCTGTAGGCTTTTATATCATTAAATTTCTTTTGAAATATCAGTTGTTTTCACCTCTTCTTAGAGATTTGGAAATCAAGACGTTAACTGATATGATTGAGCTGAGAGAGCCAGCTATAGTGGCTTGTGGAGCAGGGACGAAGCTGAAAAAGTGCTCCTTTCTGATCTGCCTTCTTTGGCAATGGTCAGGTCCCTCCCCCACCCCACATCTGCATTGATGGTGGTAGCTGGTAAAAGCCATTTTAGTTGTTTGGATTACTCTTTCTGTAAGCCTGTGTCTTTTGCAGATATCACTGGGACGTGGTACTTTTGGTTCCTCCAGCTAGCGTTGTCTCTGCTGGTTCCCCTTCCTTTGATTACCCTGGCTCCCTGATTGATGGTTATGTGCCCAGCATTCCAATCCATGCTTTCCAGAAGTAGGGCTGTCGAAGGTGTGCTTTGCTGAACTAGATGATGATTTCTGGGGCTTGTGAACCTGGAGGGAATCAAGAAAGTCAGACTCTGTGAATCACTGTAACAGAATATCGGCTGCTCCGAGGAAACTTTCCTCCCCTTCAGGTATTAGTATAACTTGCCTCAAGGACCCTTTAGCAAATTTCTTCTAATCTTTCACTGTATCTAGAGACCAAAATAGCAAATAAACTGCTTAAGTCCTGTCAGGTCTTGTCCATTTAGAGGAACATTGTGCCACATAGAAAACAGTCTGTAAGACTAACAGGAAGTTTATTTTTTGAAAGTGCTTCTTATTTCTTCTTATCTCTTCTAAAGTTAATTTTATAGGAGAAAGCTTAGATTGTTGTTTATGTTTTCTTAGCGACATTTAAGGGACTCTTTGGCCAAATTAAGCAGTTTTGTACCAATAGAAAGTATCCATGTCCTTCTAGCTGTCTGGATGACAAAGTACATATCCTATAGCCGCCTTGGTTCTGAGTAGTCTTCCCCTTGCTACTTTTATCTTGTTTCTGGTATGGTCCGCATGAACGTGATGTCATCCATGCTTCCTCAGGAGTAACGCCATGCCTGTGAGCCTCTGATTTGGTTTAGACAGGAAGCATTTAAAATGCTGGGGAAAAAAAAAATCAAATAAATAAATAAATAAAATGCTGATCAGCAGCTTTCCTTCCTCCTCTCAACATAACTGCAAATAATTTTGTCCAATGTATAAATAAAGGGGAAAAGTCTTTCTCTGGGAACCCAAGTTTACTGAATAAGGGCGATATTAACATTTCTTGTTAAACCTGTGCCAAGTTTGGAATATCAAAAAGTCTAGTTGTGACTGGAAAAGCTACCAGTCCATTTTTGATACTGGGACTAGTGCCTCACCCAGCTGAACAGTACTTACTGTCTTGAGGTCACATTCTTTTCATTTTGAATTGCCTCCAAATCTGAGGATGCTAAGATCAAGTTGGACTATACTGGGCTCTTCTGGCCATCAGCTCCACAACAGTGGCTATAGTTTTGGCACTTAAGCATCCTTACGACGTTTCTGCAAATCTGAAATATTCCTTGTGGTTAGCCGCCATCCAGGTTAAGAATGAAAACAAGATATAACTGTGTGGTGCCAGTCTTAACCATGATTAAATAATTTTCACTTTGGCTTGCAGATTTATACAAGTAACCCCCAAATCAGGAATTAGGCTCATTAAATGAACCCACGTCTATACATGGAGGAGAGACGTACTGAGACAGTCACCATTTAATGTTACTGTTTGAAAATGTTCACCAGGGTTAGATGGTGACATTGGGCTGTCTGGTTGCCCAAAAGACATCTGTCTGTAGGCTAGAGGGCCATAAGCTTCCTTTTGGATGTTTGTATCTTAGGATGGGTGGTTCTCATGAACAGAATCATCTTCCATCCCTGGTGGTCTCTTTCAGGACCTGAACATTGTGTCCAAGTCAAGGATAAGAGAATGTTGAGAAGGTCACTCTATGTATAATTTCTATTGAAATTTTTTCTCTAAGTACTAATGATGACAATGGAGAAGATATTTGAATGGAAAATTTCCAAGTTAGTGTAAACTAATGGAAGTAGTGATTTATTCAGACTATGTTTTCTGTTTCACATCCAAGAAAGATCTGCTTTCTGTACTTTATCACGAGGAGCCCAGGAAAATTGTTAGTTGGTGATCGTGAATGAATAATTAGTTCCCTATTATTTTTTCTAATTGCCGTAGTTCACTTCTCTTACAGAAAACAAGCTTCTCTACCCTCTTTCTCTCATAGTGGAAGGATGAAATAAAAAACTTTTTATACAGTAGTTTTGTCTTTTTTTTTTTTTAAGTTAGAATGTGATCTGTAGTTAGGCAAGATGAAAACTCCATTTTTATTTACTTGGTTTAGTTTAATACCAAAAGGAAAACCCGGATTTTCCTTCAAGGAAAACCAGTGCATATCAAATCTGATATAAGTTGGGGAGGTGGCTTCTGATCTTATTTTGTCATGTTGGCTTTTGTTGTTAATGTTGAGACTTTGGTCTGGCTACTTGAAGAGTCTCTGGGTTCTGTTACCTGGGACATCTGAGGCTTTTGGGCCTTACAGTGGGTCACTCTGATGATTGAAACAAGTACCTCGAAAGGACTATGTTTTCTCTATTAGGAGCATTAGGTAAAGAGGGACTTAGGCAGGAAAAACTTATCTTGGTTTCCCAACCCACTGTTACCTCTCTATTCTTCTGTCTTGTCATGGTCTTGTTGCTGATGACTTTATACATTCCCCTGAGATTGTGTGTTGCTCATTAGTTCTCAACAAAAGATGAGATTTAGTTGTGTTTTCTCCCTGCTCTTTGCTTTTGTGCCCTGGGATAGGAGTTGCAGGCCGTCCAGTCTGTGACTACATGCTCAACCGAACCCTGGATTTATAGTCACTTTATAGCAGCCTTTCCTCTTCCCAAATGAGTGACTCCCCTGCGTTAAACAGGTGAAAACATTACTTGCACTTCCTTCACTATAAGTCCCATCCTGTGGTTTACGGTTCTGGACAGTTGGAGCAGACCTGTGGTTGGTAGATTGGGGAACCAGAAAGTATTTTCTGCTTTAAAATGTTTGAGAAGCCGTCTTTCCAGCATGCTGGTGTCGAGTACTCCAAAACTATTTACCCTGCGATGTGGAAGGTAGTAAGGGGTTGTAGAAAAAAGTGTTCAGGGAAACGCATATCTACTCCCAAAGCCAAAAGTCCCACACTTTTGTTTGTACTGCTGTGGTAAAGGACTGTAAGGAGTATCCTTGAGATGGGGAAGGTTAGAGATGAAATGGAGATTCTTCAAGAAAAAGGCTGGTAATCAAGGAAAGGGAAAGATTAAAAGGCAGCAATAGGAAACCTTTTGAGATCTGGATGTCTTTCAACCAGAAAGACAATTTAGTTGTCCTGTTTGATGATGGGGGAAGAATAAAAATCCACTGAAATATAAAGGCAAATATTTCAAACTCCAAGTAGAGGGGACTTTACCTCCATGTGTATATTTTATGTGGTGTGATATTAAGAACTACTATTATAGATAGCTCTGTAAATTGCAAAAAGGGCAGACATTTATAAAAACTGCATCTGTGGTTTTTTCCAGCTTAGATGAAAATTACATGGATAATGGATTAATTTAGGTAATAAACTGATATTCCATTGGAGAAGGAATGTTTTTCTCAAAATATGATAGATTTTTTCTAAAAATTTTTAACTTTTTTGGAAGCAAAGGACCCAATACTGAATTAAACCATGGATTTTATAATGGGAGCTTGGTTTTTCCCCCTCTAATCCATCTAAGTATTCACCGTGTTTAGATATCGTGGAATTCTTGGTACAGCAAGAAGATAAATGATTTAGGGTATAGAATTGTCAGAGTAAGAGATGATGTTTTTATTTAGTGTGTGTTTTATAAATGAATAATTTGTGCTTATGTTTCTATTTTGCACCCTCCTGGGATACTGAACATTTGGTTTGTGGAATGGAAACCACCAGGAGTGGTTCCTTTTGCCTCATTCTGCCTTCTTTCCAAAAGTGGGAGAGGGAACAGGAAAGGTTTTTAGTCCCTGTGTTATTTAAATGTCTTAAAACATTGAGGCATCATCTGTTACTTCTTACTCAGAATCCCTTGACCCCTTTTAATGGTCTCTGATGATTTCTTCTGCATGTTTAAAGTATAGCCTTGATTTGTAAAGAAATACATTAGGAATTTTGAATCTGAATGAGGGTTTGGGCTTCTCCTCGGCTGCTACTTGTTCTGGGATCTCTTTACCATGCTGTTTCGGGTAAATGCATCTTGTTAATCCAGCTGTGTTTACTTTTTTATTCCCTTTCCCATTTCAAAGTTCTCTCCACCTCAGTTCTTTCTAACATGGATTTGTATATTCCTTGTCACATTAACCGTTAGGATCAGTTGTGTGGCCGGGACCCTACTCTTACTGACGAGCTGCTGAATATCCTCACAGAGCTAACTCAACTCAGTAAGACCACCAACGCTAAAGTGGCGCTTCGAGCACGCCAGGTAAGGACATATGTGGGCTGTCTTGAGGGAAGAATGGTTTTCATAGATTGGGCAGCCCTAGACACAGTGGGCTGTCTCTCCATCACCTTACGAAGGTCACGCAATTTTCTAGTTACGTCTCATTGCCCTCAGAACAGATGTTCTCACGTGGCATATGTTTTTTAAAGAGAAAAGATTAGCATCGAGTTTCTTTAAAATAGGAACCCTCTCCCCATTATAAAATCCTGTTATCATTCCCTACCCTTCCTAGTAAACCAGGGTCATGTGGAGGAAAGGAAACTAAGAGAAGGCAATAGACTTAATATTTCTTATTTCCCAAAGGGAGCTTAGAAGCAGGTGAAAACTTTTAAGTGTATAGGGAAAAAAATCAAGCGTGGAAAGCAAAAAGATAATGAATCTGAGGCGCTAGCCATCAGAACCACCCCAGAGCAGTCCAGTTAGTTTCACCCCATAGTCTTCATTTCCATTCCAAAAGGTTTCAGCAGGGAAGCCAGGAGTCGGCACTCCCTTTGTGTTCCAGCGCATGGGCATTGACGAGGAAGCTGCATTTGAAGCTGTTCAGTGACCTTCTGCTTTCTCTACAATTGTATCCATGTCACTGAATTACTCAAAGTTATTGAACCTCTCAGTGACCTGCTGAGGGTATTCAGGTCCTACCGTGTCCCTGTTTGTTTGTGACACTGCTCTCGCTGTCCCTGCCCCTCAGATGCATTGGTGTTACATCCTGATGCCTTCTCCTTGGTGCTGAGTACCTGGGGGCTGTCAGAGCAGCTTTTGCTAGTCTTTCTGCTTCGGAGTTGCAGAAGCCTAGCTCTGCTGCATCCACCTTCCCACAGCTGCTCCCTGCCAGACCTGATTCCCAATTAACAGCTAGTCATGCAGTCCCCAGGACTAGCAGCTTCGCAATGGTAAATCGCATGCACTGATGGAACTTGATTGAAGCTGTTTTCTCTCCCTCCTCACCCCCCTGTTCCCCCATGGGAAATTGCTCACAACGCAGATCATGGTGAGAGTCAACTGAGATGCAGTATTTGGTGGCGCTGGCTTCATGTTACAGGACCTAGAAGTTGTTTCACTTGGTCTCTGTTTTATCTTTGATGCCAGCACTTACAGATTTATATTTATTGCTTTTGTATCAGAGCTGCCTAATAGGAGCCTAGAATAATCACTCCCTCAGGAACTTATGCCTCTTATTTTGCTCTCACTCTAGGTTCTTATTGCCTCCCATTTGCCATCATATGAGCTTCGCCATAACCAAGTAGAGTCTATCTTCCTATCAGCTATTGACATGTACGGACATCAGTTTTGCATTGAGAACCTGCAGGTATACATTATAGCCCTTTTCTACCACTCTGCACTCTTGTCCCCTTTCTTCCCAAGCATAGTGTAATTAAGTAACCCATCAATCAATTTTGACTTTCTGTGTAATGACATTTTATACCTTGACTTTTTCAAATGGTTTCTACTAATATATATACATATTTTTTTCATAAAAATGCTGTTGGAATTGTGGCTTAGTAAAAATCAAGTAGGCCTGCCTTGATAGATGTGTCCTGTTGAAGTCTTTACTTCTTGTGCTTTTATCTAGAAAGCATTCTAGCACAGAGATACGTGGCAGCACTGGTTGATTTCTGATATTTGAGTCAGATGTGTCAATAGGTAGCTGTTAGTCTTCTGCAGACAAAGCTACATAACAATCATTTAATTTTATACTAATACTTACTATTAAGCTTTATACAAAGCCAGTTTTATGAAAGAATATTGGCTGATTGTAATACTAATTCAAAGAACCTTGACCATTATTTGTTAAACAACATTATTTTGTCAAGGATGGCTTTCTGTTTTTCTACTTGGAGATAAGGACATTATTCTGTCTAGCCAAGGGAAGCTTCAGGTGTTCTATCAGATTTCCTTCTGGGGAACCTAGAGACAGGAGAGGGATGTTTTTGCTTATTTGGTTTATGGTCGAAACAGTTTCAACTGGGGTTCAGATTTATGGTTTGCCATGGTGGAGTATTGATATAATATTTTAAAAGTTGAGTACAGATATATGTCAGAAAGGATAATAATAATCTCCATAAACACTTAGCATACTATTAAGTGCACTGTTAATGAATTATTCTAAGAGTTTTCCATATATTAACTCTTCTAATGCTCACAACAGCCCCATGAGGATTGGTATTATTATTTTCCCCATTTTGTAGCTGAAGAAGCTGAGGCAGAGAAGGTAAGTTCATGCATCACATCCATAGACGAAATTCTGAAGTTTCACTGAATGCTTTCAAATGCTAAACATTGTGCGTTGGAATGGTTCTCTTTTGGATGAAATGGTTTAAGCTTATCTTTGTACCTTCCAGAAACTCATCTTGTCTGAAACATCCATTTTCGATGTCCTACCAAACTTCTTCTATCACAGCAACCAGGTGGTGAGGATGGCAGCTCTGGAGGTAGGCCTTCGTGGTAACGTGACGTGACCTTTTTCTTGGTTCTGGCTGACTCCTTCTGTCCTCTGGGCTATTGTTAACCAGTCCTTTTTCTTTGGCCTTAACATTGCTTCTTGAGAGTAGAGTCTTTTCCATAGTGCTTAACTATGGTCTTGCTTTACTCAAGTGTGTCAACTGAACTAATCTCCAGTTTCTGGTCTCCAGTCCCAGGAAAGTAACTGTCAGCATTTTTCAATAGCCTCTATTTTCCAGATATTTGAATTCTTCCATTTCATAATCATTAGCATTCCCTGTGAGAAAATATGTGGCTGGTCAGGACAATACTATTTTGGATTTGGGTGAAATAAAATGGATTTTAGTTATACTCTGAATTGTCAAGCAGTTCTTATGAACTATTTCAGCCTGAGAAAGAAAGTAATAGCATTTAATGAACTGCGTTTTAAATGCTTTATTTTCTCATTTAATCTTACAATTACTTCACAAAGTAGAAGAAAGTAATGAGACTCTGGGAGGTTAAGTGACTTATCCAAATTCATGTGGATAATAAGTGGAGGGGTTTGCATTTGAACCCAGGTCAGTGTGACTCAAAGACTTCTCTTTTTCCACTATAGCTCCCTACCTCATTAAGCTCAAAAACCGCAGGCCCCAAATATGGCTGCAAAGTTGCCAAGCAGATGTTTCTTGAAGATGAGGAGAAGGAGTGTTGATGACTTTATGTGATATGACATCACTAGTCTTCTGCAGGCTCTTCTGTATTACTTTTTATGTGTATTCTGTGGGTAGAGTGTGATGTATCGCACTCAGTAGATACCAAAATTTGAAAATGTCTAAGGGTTCTACAGTGCTTTCGTGCCATTTGGTGTGAAGTGTCCTTACGTACCTCACATGCTGATAGAATCCCACGTTGCGTTTTATGCGCATGACAAACTGGCTGTGAAGTGCGTGAGTTTGGACTGAAGGTTTTTCCTGAGATGCACCCTGTTGCTTTTCTTTGACTCTTGAGTCAAATTAGTGTATTTGAGATGTTATATATCAAATTATGCCTTCCTAATTTTGCCTCAGGTTTGTGGAATATAAACAGTCTAAAATTGATTTGTTGCAGTGGGAAAACAAAACAAAGATATCAGATCTAAGAGAGTTAGACTGTACTTTAGTTGTTTCTGTCTTTTGTCTTCACTGGTCAGGTGGCCCAGAATCAGCACTTCTCATTTTTCGCACTGTTTGCTGTAATCTTCTGCTGAAATGATCATGCTTAATGAGTTAATAGTCATGGTTCTGTTTGCTCTCTTTTGTTAACAATCAAAAACTTAGTTTAGGTTGGTGTAAAGGGTTTATATTTATAGCACACCTAGAGGTGTCCAGCAGAGGCAGACTAATTTTGTTTCCATTTATAGTCATGGTTATAGTTTTAAGACTCTAGCTTTATTAATTAAAGCAAGGTATGTATGTATAGGGCCTTGGGACTTCTGTCACCACAGACTGCCTTCTTCTGCATCAGATACCTCTTTTCAAGACTTCTTCCTGGGCTAATCATTTCTTAGTTTCTGTTTTTAAAATGTGTTTACTGAGGATTACTTTTTAACCAGGTGTATGTTCGAAGGGCTTATATTGCCTATGAACTTAACAGTGTACAACACCGCCAGCTTAAGGACAACACCTGCGTGGTGGAATTCCAGTTCATGCTGCCCACATCCCACCCAAACAGGTGAGTCTGAGCTGGTATGTGCACCTGAGCCAACCAGAACTCTGTCGGGAGAGTTAAGGGCGGAGTAATGTGTACGGCTATTCTATGTGGGGTCTTTTTTAGCTATAAATATAGAGCAGAAATTGAACACGTTTAAAACATGGGAGAAGAACCTCTTGGTGTCCACTTCTTTTATTATTTTTTTCGATCTGGAGAGATAAAGTATGGTCTAATTAAGATAGAAGTTTAGGATTATGCCATTCATTTTTGTTTGTATTCTGTCACTTGAAGAAACAGTTCTTTTTTTTTAAAGTTAGGAAGAATTTAGTAGAATTTTACTTACTGTAACTTTGCCACAAAATCACTTTTTAACAGTTTAAGTCAACAGAATGTAAAAATATTTTAAATATTTTGGGTGGAATGCTTTCCTTTTCTGTATGTTTGCTCTGGGTTAAGGTTACACCTGAGCCAATTTCATTATCTCGCTAAAAACAAACGTGAATTTAGCAGTTTAAACCCAGTTTTTAAAAATCACACTTTAGGAAGCAAACTTAGATTTAAGTAAATTGCTTAATTAAGCCATGCTAATTCCATTAATTTTCCCTCCCTAAGCCCTTTAAAAAATAAAATGTACATATATAAATTTGTTTCCAATTCCAACAATAATACCAGAGGATAGCTTTGAAGATGAAAATACTCTATCTTGTAATCTCATTTATTTTTAAAGTATTCCAAGGCAGTGAAAACCTAGGAATTTCACCCACACATATGTTCATCCCCTCCTGTATTTTTATTCTTTTTAGTAACACCACAGGAAATATAAATAACCACAGCCAGTCTTAGGCTGCCCCCCTCCATTTCTTCTTTATGGCCTCTGGTTCTTCACTTTGTATTACAAAGCACCGTGTCTTTGGGGATCCTTAGTTATAGACAACAGAAATGGTTTTGTTCTGAATTGCCACTTCACCCAAAGCAATAGAAACTCTTCCTAGAGACAAAGAAGTCTGTGCTGAGACTTTCAGCCACTGGATGCCACTGTTGATCCAGCAGAGGTCAGCAGATGAGCAGTGGCATCTTCAGAAAAAAGTACTTCTCTTCTTTGTCTCAGAAGATCCCTTCACTTCTCTACCTCGAAAATATCTTACGGCTGGCAGAGAAAAGCATATATCCTTGATTTAGCAAGCATCTCTCGGTACATTTTTTGCCTCCATGGATTTCAGAATCTCATTTTCTAGAAACGAATGGTTGTCCTTCAGCGAGCGGCGCGGTACTCATGGCCCACATGGGCTCGGCACTCGGGCTTCTTTCTTTCCCTGCATTCCTTGAATAATTGTAGAGAACCGCATGCTGGACTTAATGCTCTTTGTGATTCTCAGGACAGTCTCCTTTTCGCCCTGCTTCCTACTGCCCCTTCCCGTTGGGCAGTGATTTGTAGTCAGGCTGCAGAGCTGCTTCTGATTTCCTTCCCTCCTCATCGCTCCGCTTGTCTTTCTGAATCGCTCTCCCTGTCCTACTTTTTTATTTGAGGCTGTGTGTCCAGCTTGGTGAGGGAAAGTAGATTGGAAAATGAGAGAAATGCTTGTTAACTGTTTGTTAAGAAATCTTACTCACCTTTCCGTCTCAAGGTATCTCAGTGACTCCTGAATCTCAGTTACTCTTGATATGATTTCAAAACTTATATACTTGTCCCTCCCAACATCTGAGGTTTATACTTCCCTCTGGGTGATGACCAGATTTGAACAGAACTGTAATCCTATATATAGTCTTTCTGAAGTCTTCTTTGCTTGTATGTATACAGAATTATAAACTGCCAGATTATTATCATTTTCATTGGTGTAGATATAAAGGTGAAGACAGAGCAAATAAAGGAGGAAAGATAAAATAATCTTTGTGAAAACCAGGAAAAAAAAGTTAAGATTGCTTTAATGCTTTTTTCGATCTGAGGTTCTTTTGTTAGCTTAGGGATATAAGATGTATTATCAGATTTAATTACAGAATGCCATATTTAATTTTAGAGCATAGTTTATTTGGATATTACAGATTTGCTACTTGAATTTAGTTTCATAAGATTTTTTTTGTTTTTGTTTTTTCATTTGTAACAAAAAAAATGTTTTTTACAATTAGAAGTTAACCTTATTCTGACACCAACTAGTGTACTGCAATTCAGTTCTGACACCACCTAGAGTTAGATCAGATGCCATGAATTAAGGGTTCAGTTCTCTCCATAAAACTGCCCCTGCTTCAGATGGTTCCATAAGTAGGGTGCCCAGTTCGCCCATAATTCTGACCAGCTGTCTGCGAATTTGGGGGTTCCTATGACCTCTTCAGGTTCAATAATTCACTAGAACAACTTACAGAACTCAGGAAAGCATTATACTTACAATCACAGTTTTATTATAAAAGATACAGATCAGGATCAGGTCCAGGCAAATGAAGAGATACATAAAGTTTGGTCTGGGTGCATCCCGAACACAGAGGTTTCCTGTTCTTTCCCTGTGGAATCAGGGTACCTCATTCTCCCAGCATATCAATGTGTTTGCCAACCAAGAAGTTCCATTGAGCTTCAGTGTGCAGAGTTTTTGTCAGGGTTTCATTACTATGGTGTGGTTGATTGAATTATAGGCCACATGATTAATCCAGCTCCTCTCCCCTCCCCAGAGGTCCAGGGGACCCTCTGATCACATGGTCAGTCTTTCTAGTGAGTAGCTTCTGTCCTGAGTTCTATCCATCTCTTAGCATAAACTCAGGTATGGTCCACAGGGCTCATGAATAATGAACTCACTTCTATTACTTGAGAAATTCCAAAATTTTAGAGTCTCTCCCAGACACCAGGAATAAAGGCCAAATTCTTTACTATGTAATAGGTCTACAACCCTTACAAGAGAATTCTAGGGTCTCTTAGTTTTAGCTACTTATGAGCCAAGTTCCAGCTTTTTTTCTGACTCTAGTACTTTTAATTTTTTTTCTATTATTGCTTTGAACAAACAGGTGATAAGGTGATTATTGTTTCTAATTCTACCACAATAAGTTACAGGAGACTACCTACCATTGTTCATTCCACTCTGTCCTATAAGGTTGGAGACACAATTATATCCACAAACCTCTAGATTAATGATTCTCAGAATTATCTGCCAAGTATTTAAAAATACAAACAAACATATTGTATTCCTGACTCCGAGGATTCTGATTCATTTTGAACCAGTGTCTAGGGGACTATTTTTTGAACAAGCTCCTCTGATAATTCTGTTGAACACCTGCAATTGAGAATCACTACTACTGGGGGAGGATATAGCTCAAGCACTAAAAGTGTGTGCTTAGCATGCACGAGGTCCCGGGTTCAATCCCCAGTACCTCCTCTAAGAGTAAGTAAATAAATAAGCCTAATTACCCCCCCTCAAAAAAAAAAAAGAGAATCACCACTCCTGGATCAGGACTGCCCACTAGAAATCTAATGCAAGCCACATATGTAATTTTAAATTTTCTACTGGCCATGTTTAAAAAGGTAATAAGAAACAGATAAAATTACCTTTAGCAGCATTTTATTTAACCCATTGTATCCAGAATAGCATTTTAATATGTAATAAAAAGTTACTAATGAGATATTTTCCATACTTCATACCAAGTCTTTGAAATTTAGAGTATATTCTATACTTACAGAATGTCTCAATACAGACCAGCCATCTTTCCAGTGTTTCCTAGCCACATAGACAGCTCAACTGTAGACCAGGAATTAATTAGGACAATCACACTGAGTCCTCTTTGTTTTATGTTAATAGTAATGCCCTAAGGAGAGAATTTTTTTTCCTACAAACTCTTATGTTCTCATGTTGCTTATTCTTAGTAGTTACAGGAATTATCCACTTCTGATACTATGTATATACTGTATTTATTCAATGAGAACAGAGAACAGGCATATGAATATGCATATTTTACTTATTCAATGCAAAACAGAATTTTATAATATTTTCCCAATATTATATTTGGGGTTAACAAACCAAAAATTCTTGGGGGAGAAAACACATGTACTCTAATCGCAGTTTTTTGAATTTTCTTTCTTGGTACTTGGTCTTCCCATTCCTAGCCAGACATTCATTTGAAGTAGACTGAACCTGTCCAGTAAGTCCTTAGGAGTATCTCTAAGTGGCATTGTGAAAGCAAGACTATGATCTCTTGTTGTGCAGGGGGTCAGCTGGTGGAATTCTATTCCTGCAGTTTGTTTTTGACTAGTGATTTAGCCCCCGCGGGTTGGGATGAAACATGGCTCACTGTCTGCAAACTGACAACAGCAGAGTATTTCTTCAGGAAATGCCTTAGATGCTGTTTGAATGCAAGACCGTGTCCCATTTGCACATGTTTTGATTTTTAGAGAAGCAGGCAAAACACAAGCAGCTGCCATTGCAAATAAGTGGAGCAGCCTCTGAGGAGGGAGAAGACACCTGATTTTAACACCCTTGGGCAGTTAGCCTGTGGCCAACATGTTTGGAGCCTTTTTGTTTAAATTCATTGTGGGACTTTGTATTGCATTTTTTAATACCTAAAATTTTTTTAAATTTTATTCTGGAAAGGACATTTAAAATGAGATCTACTCCTTTAATAATACTTCAAGTGTACAATATAGTATTGTTGACTTTAGGTACAATATTGTACAACAGATCTCTAGCACTTACTCATCTTGCTGGACTGAAACTTTCGTTTGACATTCAGTATAATTTGACTATCTTTTTTCCTAATTGTCCTCTCAATATATATTTTTAAAAAGCAGCAGATAACTAAACAGTTTATTTCTAATCTCTGTGACTTTCTGCGTCATCCCTCTTGCTAGGTAGGCTTCAGCCAAGGTGTGTGTTCATCTTCTTGATCTTCTACCGAAGACTTCCAGATTTTTTCTGGGAACTGTAGTTGCAGCTTATTTGGCATCCCCAGGTCTTACTCACCACAGGATTCAATATTAGAGCTTCACTAAGGGAAGCTCCTGGTCTAGGTATACCCTTTTCTTCTTAAACTCCCTTCACTTAAACAGC